CCCAATAACCATTGATTTTTTTTTTTCCCCCTTTCCCCCCACCTGTGTGCAACTTGGTTAGGACAGTGTTAGGACAGTGTGCAGTGTTATTTGCCACATTTCCATCTAGCACATGGCCCATAGTAGAAGCTCAAAGCATGTTTATTGATCCCAATTATAAATTTAAAAATGACCATTTTATTCCACTTGATTTTGCCATGAACCTAAAACTGCTCTAAAACAATAAAGTCCACTAAAAAAAAAAAAAGGCCATTTTGTCTTACACACCAGTCTCTTGTGAGATTAATTGGAGCGTGAGTTCTGAAGAGCCCAATTAGCTTTGGATACATGGGCAAAATTGTATTTTTGGATCCAAAAAGGTAAGTAGATATCCTGAGTACCCTCAGACCCTGGCCCCAGGGAGGTCCAGCCAATGTTGTCCGTCTCTCTCTGACATCCCCGTGCTTTAGATTCAGTGGGGTTTAAGGCTGCCTCTGTCCTCTGTCCTCTCAGGCTGTGGGATTTGCAGATGGTGCTGGCAGATGCCCAGCTTGGTCCTCCTCAATGCTCCTTGTTCTCTGCTGGCGGTCACTGCTTGGTAGGCCTGGCACTGTTGGGGGGGGTGGAAGTCCAGGGGGAGAGGAACTGGGAAATGTGACTTTCATGCCTGGAATGAAGACTCACCCACGTGACCTGCGGCAAGTGTTTGATCCTCTTTGGGTGGCCTGTGCTGAAGTGGCTGTAGAGCTGCGATGCCCGGCTGACCCCATGGAGAAGCTTGCGGGCCAGGCAATACCATCCCCAGGGTGGAAACACCTCCTGCTTCCGCCTTTGGAGAGCCTTTCTCTGTGCTGCTTTGTGAGACATTTCTGAGAACTGCCTGCATCTCGTTTCTGGTGGTGAATTGATTTACAAGATCCTTTGTTGATAGCTCAGCTTCAAAAGCGTCCGAGTCTGCTGTTTAGCGCCCTTCTCCCTTACAAGCGAGGAGATGCTCTTACAAAGGAGGGCGGGGGGCGGGAAATACAAATGGTCTTGTTATTGACTTATAAGCTCATTAGGCCCTTTTTTGGGGGCCATAGTGTAACTATTTTGTGGGCAGATAGTGTGATTTCTACATGTGTTATACTCAGTTAAATGTGGGTGCGTGGGTAAGGGTAAATCCAACCTTGCTGTGTCTGTGAAGAGTATGTGAGTTTCCATATTAAGTGTGTCCTAGCTTTCTTTTTGTTTCAGATGTCTATTTAAATTTATTTCAGCAAATATTCATTGAGCCCGTAATATGTGGTAAATGTAGATAAAATAAGATTTGGGGGAGTCACAGGCTCCTGGAAGAGAGACAAACACAGAAGTTTTTTTTTTTTTTTTTAATGTTAGTCACGATACAGTACATCATTAGTTTTTGATGTAGTGTTCCATGATTCATTGTTTGCATATAACACCCAAACACAGAAGTTTTTAGGGCAATCAGGGCACCAGACACTTTCAGATACTCACTGTAGAGGTCCTCTTTCCCCAAGGGCACTGTGCAGTTCTAAATTATGTTTTTGCAAACCTGAGTACAGGCAGGTCCTACGCCATACCTTCTTAGCTTTGACTCTGGGGCAGAAAAAAGACTCTTAGTTCCAATTTGGAAAATTCTGGGGCTGGACTGGGATTAGTCTGGCTGGATCACACGGTCCCTTCTGTGGCCTGAGGTGGGGGTAGGGTGGGGAAATATGACTGGCCAACCCCACCAGAGTAGGTGGTTGGAGAAAGAGTAGGCACCATCCTCCTTAGAAAGGAGAGTGCTGTTCTTAGGAGGAGGAGTGCTTGGGCAAAGAGGCAGTAGCTGTCCACCACAGCAGAGGAGTGTTGATCAACATTGATTCCTGTCTGGAGAGAAAGCCAAGCCTTACATTCATCCATGTCAAATGTCTTCATCTATAGCCAACCCTTCTGGGTAGGGACATCCTAAGCTATCTTCCAATCCTTTATCATTATCATCATCATACTTATTTAGTGAGCGCCTGCTATATGCTAACCAGGGGCTTCATTGAAATTATTTTTACAATGATCTTATAGGGCAGAAATTATTTGCTACTTTATTAAGGCTTAGACACATTAAGTGATTTACCTAAAGTGGGGAAGATGGGATTTCAATCTAGTCCCTTTGGTTTCCATGCCTGTCTTCTTTCTTCTACCCTATTGCTATTTGGGATTTATGCATCTCTAGGATGAAAGATAACCTGCAATGATAATATGTAACTGAACTCAGACTTTTGACTGCCAGCCACGGCCTACAAAATCTCCGCTGGCCCTTCGGCTCAGGTCATGATCCTGGAGTCCCGGGATCGAGTCCCGCATCGGGCTCCCTGCTCGGCAGGGAGTCTGCTTCTCCCTCTGTCTCATTGTCTCTCTCTCAAATAAATAAATAAAATCTTTAAAAAAAAAAAAAATCTCCGCTGGGAATTCTCTGTTTGTGATGATTTACTGTCATGTTTTATGAGGGCTCCAGGTACAAGGAGGGGTGTTCAGAACAATCGTGGAGCAAACAACTCTTCTAATATGTCCCCTAGTGCAAATCTGCAGGTGGTTATGGTCAGCCTACTGGCAGAGCAAAGAATGCGTGATGGAACACATTAATGATGGGTTGCTGATGGAAACAATTATGTTTGTGATGATGATTCTTTTTTGGGGTGTTTAGAAAAACAAGGAATGCCATAAAAATGTTATGTTCCAAGGAGAATGTTCTGTGTTTAAGCCGTTGCAGAGTCTCAATTTTGGTTGACTAAAACAATAGTAAAAACAATGATAATACTAAATACCCATAGTCTGGCATTGGTTCTTTTTAAAAAAATATGTATATAGTATGCTAATTTTCAAAAAATTTTTTGAGATATAACTCACATACAATGTTAGTTTTAGGTGTACAACATAATGATTTGACATTTTTATACATTGTAAAACTGTCTCTATAATAAGTCCAGTTACCATTTGTGACTGTATAAAGTTAATACAATGTTATTGACTATATTCCCCATGCTGTACATTACATCCCCACTACTTTATTTTATAACTGGAAGTATGTACTTCTTAATCCTATTCACCCATTTTGTACACCTTCCCCAACCCCCTCCCCTCTGGCAACCACCAGTCTCTTCTCTCTGTATCTGAGTCTGGGTTTTGTTTTGTTTGCTTGTTTTGTTTTTTAGATTCCACATATGAGTGAAATTATGTGGTGTTTGCCTGACTTATTTCACTTAGCATAATACCTTCAAGGTCCACCTATGTTGTCAAAAATGGTAAGATTTCATTTTTAATGGCTGAGTAGTATTCCTGTGTGTGTGTGTGTGTATGGATCACATCTTCTATATTCATCCACTGATGGACAGTTAGATTGTTTGCTTATCTTGGCTATCGTAAATAATGCTGCAATGAATATAGGGATGCATGTATATTTTCAGATTCATTTTTTTTTTGTTTTCTTCAATAGATACCCAATAGTGGAATTGCTGCATCACGTGGTAGTTCTGTTTTTAATTTTTTGAGGAACGTGTTTTCTACAGTGGCTGCACCAATTTACATTCCCACCAGTGGTGCACAAGGGTTCCCTTTTCTGCACATTTTCACCAACACTTATTTCTTGTTTTGTTGATAATTGCTATTTTGACAGATATAAGGTGATATCTCATTGTGGTTTTGATTTGCATTTCCCTGATGATTCGTGACATTGAGCGTCCTTATGTGTCTATTGGCCATCTGTATGTCTTCTTTGGAAAAGTGTCTATTCAGAATCTGTGCCCAATTTTTAATAGAATTTTTTGTTGTTATTGAGTTGTAGGAGTTCTTTATATATTTTGATATTAACCCTTTATCAGATATATGATTCGCAGATATCTTCTTCCATTTAGGTTGCCTTTTTATTTGGTTGATGGTTTCCTTTGCTGTGCAGAACTTTTTAGTTTGATGTAGTTGCATTTGTTTATTTTTGCTTTTGTTTCCTTGCTTTTGGAGTCAGATCCAAAAAAACATTGCTAAGATTGATGTCCAGGAAATTACTGTTCATGTTTTCTTTCTGGTTTTATGGCTTCAGGTCTTAAATTTAGGTTTTTAATCCATTTTGAGTTGATTTTTGTGTATGGTGTAAGATAATGGTCCATTTTCATTCTTTTGCTGGAGCTATCTAGTTTTCCCTGCACCATTTATTTAGGAGACTGTCCTTTTTCCATTGCATATCCTTACCTTCTTTGTTGTAAGTAATCAACAGTTTATGTGTGGGTTTGTTTCAGGCTGTCTATTCTGTTCCATTGATCAATGTGTCTTTTTATGCAGCATTGCATAAAATATACTACATATACTACAAACTATAGCTTTGGAGTATAGCTTGAAATCAGGGATTGTGACACATGCAACTTTGTTCTTAAGATTATTTTGTCTATTCAGGGTCTCTTGTGGTTCCATACAAATTTTAGAATTATTTGTTCTAGTTCTGTGAAAAGTGTCAGTGGAATTTTGATAGGGATTGCATTAAACCTATAAATTACTTTAGAGAGTATGGACATTTTAACAATATTGATTCTTCTAATCCATGACATGGAATATCTTTCCACTTATTTGTGTCTTCTTCAATTTCTTTCATCAGTTTCATAGTTTTCAGTGTATATGTCTTTCATCTTCTTGGTTAAATTCTTTTTGATGTGGGCTGCCGCCGAGCGCCGGCCCACTGAGGCGGCGCCCTCGGTTCCCGGCCCGGAGACGGTCGGGACCGCCAAATCTGCGGCCCCAGGGCGGCGGCGGCGGCGGCGGGAAAGATGAAGAACGAAATTGCTGCTGTTGTCTTCTTTTTTACGAGGCTAGTTCGAAAACATGACAAGTTGAAAAAAGAGGCAGTTGAGAGGTTTGCTGAGAAATTGACTCTTATACTTCAAGAAAAATATAAAAATCACTGGTATCCAGAAAAACCTTCAGAAGGACAGGCCTACAGATGCATTCGTGTCAATAAGTTTCAGAGAGTTGATCCTGATGTCCTGAAAGCCTGTGAGAACAGCTGCATCTTGTACAGTGATCTAGGCTTACCAAAGGAACTCACTCTGTAGGTGGATCCGTGTGAGGTGTGCTGTCGGTATGGAGAGAAAAACAATGCATTCATTGTTGCCAGCTTTGAAAATGAGGATGAGAACAAGGATGAAATCTCCAAGAAAGTTACCAGGGCCCTTGATAAGGTTACCTCTGATTATCATTCAGGATCCTCTTCTTCAGATGAAGAAACAAGTAAGGAAGTAGAAGTGAAACCCAGTTCGCTGACTGCGACCCCAAGCCCTGTGTACCAGATTTCAGAATTGATATTCCCTCCTCTTCCAGTGTGGCACCCTTTGCCCAGAAAAAAGCCAGGAATGTACCGAGGGAATGGTCATCAGAATCACTACCCTCCTCCTATTCCATTTGGTTATCCAAATCAGGGAAGAAAGAATAAACCATATCGCCCAATTCCAGTAACATGGGTACCTCCTCCTGGAATGCATTGTGACCGGAATCACTGGATTAATCCTCACATGTTAGCACCTCACTAGCTGCTCTTGATTCTGTTGGTGTCAGTGTTGAGAGAAGGTAGAATAAGCCTGACCACATTAAAAGTTAAAAGTTCGTACTCATAGTAGTAAAGTTAGATGGGCCAAACCGTCAAACTTATTTTTATAGAAAAGTTATTGATAATAATCTTTCTTAAAAAATATATATGCACTTTAGATATATTGATATAGTTTGAGAAACTTTATTAAAGTTAGTCAAGTGCCTGAGTTTTTAATATTGGACTTGAGTATTTATATATTGTGCATCAACTCTGTTGGATACGAGAACACTGTAGCAGCAGACAATCTGTTCTAGCACCTTTGAGCATTTACTTTATGGAGAGTATGTAAGTTATTTATACACAAGGAAATCTATTTTATGTCATTGTTTAGAAGAATTGCGTGAAATCATGTAGTTGCAAATAAAAAGTAGTTTGAGGCATGACAAAAAAAAATTCTTTTTGATGTGATTATAAATGGGATTATTTTGATTTCTCTGATAGTTCATTATTAGTGTATACAAATGCAACAGGGTTTTTGCATATTAATTTTATATTCTGCAACTTTCCTGAATTTGTTTTAGTTCTAACAGTTTTTTGGTAGAGTCTTTAGGATTTCCTATATATGGCATCATGTCCTGTGCAAATAGTGACAGTTTTATGTCTTGCTTTCCAATTTGTATGCTTTTTAATTTCTCTTCTTGCCTGATTGCTGTGACTAGACTTCCAATACTATATTGAATAAAAGTGGGATTAGTGGGCATGCTTGTCTTATTCCTGATCTTAGAGGAAAGCTTTGAGCTTTTCAGTCATTGAGTATATTAGCTTGGTTATGTCCTATATCACCTTTATTATGTTGAGATATGTTCCCTCTGTACCCACTTTGTTGGGAGTTTTTAATCATAAATATATGTTGAATTTTATCAAATGATTTTTCTGCATCTTTTGAAAGGATCATATGATTTTTATCCTTCAGTTTGATTGACTCACCATTGTTGAGTCAACCATTGACTCACCAATGTTGAACCATCCTTGCATTCCTGGAATAAATGCCACTTGATTAATAGTGATCCTCTTAATGTATTGTTGAATTTGATTTGATGATGTATGATCCTCTTAATGTCTTATTGAATTTGGTTTGCTAATATTTTGCTGAGGATTTTTTGCATCTACGTTCATTAGGAATGTTTTCCTATACTTTTTTTTTTTTTTTTTTTTGTGGTATCCTTGTCTGGTTTTGGTATTGGGGTAATGCTGGACTTGTAAAAGGAGTTTGGAAGCTTCACCTCCTCTTCAATTTTTTAGAAGACTTTGAGAAGAATAAATGTTAAATCTTCTTTGAATGTTTGGTAGAATTCACTAGTGAAGCCATCAGGTCCTGGACTTTGTTTCTTGGGAGGTTTTTGATTACTGATTCAATCTCATTACTAGTAATTGGTCTATTCAGATTTTCTATTTCTTCATGATTCAGTCTTGGAAGATTGTAAATTTCTAGGAATTTATCCATTTCTTCTAGGTTGTCCTGTTTGTTGGCATATAATTGTCTATATAGTCTCTTGTGATCCTTTGTAGCTTTGTATTTTCAGTTGTAACTTCTCCTTCATTTCTGATTTTATTTATCTGAAACTTCTTTCTCCTTTTAGTCTAGCCAAAGTTTTGTCAAATTAATTTTTCAAAGAACCAGCTCTTCATTTCATTGATCTTTTATAGTCTTTTCATCTCTATTATATTTATTTCTGTTCTGATCTTTATTATTTCCTTCTTTCTACTAACTTTGGTTCTGTTTGTCTTCTTTTTCTAGTTTCTTTAGGTGTAAATTTAAATTACTTATTTGACGTTTCTCCTCTTTCTTGAGGTAGGCCTGTATTGCTGTGAACTTCCCTCTTAGAACTGCTTTTGCTGCATCCCATGGATTTTTGGTGCGTCCTATTTCTGTTTTCATTTGTTTTTAGGTATTTTTTGATTTCTCCTTTAATTTTTTCTATGACCCAGTAGTTGTTCAGTAACATGGTTTTTAATGTCCATGTATTTGTAGTTTTTCCAGTTTTCTTGTAAGTGATTTCTAGTTTCATACCATTGTGGTCAGAAAAGATGCTTGATACAATTTCAGTCTTCTTGAATTTTTTGAGATTTGTTTTGTGGCCTTACATGATCTTTTCTGGAGAATTTTCCACATGCATTTGAGAAGAATGTATATTCTGCTTTTGGATGGAATGTTCTATATATATCTATTAAGTCCATCTGGTCTAATGTGCCATTTAAGATTGTCATTTCCTTATTGATTTTCTATCTGGATAATCTATCCATTAATGTAAGTGCAGTGTTAAAGTCCCTTACTATTATCATGTTGCTATCAATTTCTCCCTTTAAGTCTGTTAATATTTGCTTTATATATTTTTGTGCTCTGATATTAGGTGCATATATATTTATAAATGTTATATCTTCTTGATGGATTGACCCCTTTATCATTATGTGGTGCCCCTCTTTGTCTTTTATTACAGTCTTTATTTTAAAGTCTGTTTTGTCTGATATGAGTATAGCTATACCAGCTTTCTGTTTCCATTTGCATGGAATATCTTTTCCCATCTCTTTACTTTCAGTCTGTATGTGTCTATACTTCTGAAGTGAGTATATGGCAATATATGGCTGTCTTTATTTTTTTTAATCCATTTAGCCACACTAAGTCTTTTGATTGGAGAATTTAATTTACATTTTAAGTAATTATTGATAGATATGTACTTAATGCCATTTTGCCATTTATTTTCTGCCTTTTTTTGTAGTTTCCCTTTCTTCCCTTCTTTCTCATGGTTTGATGGCTTTCTTTGGTGTTTAGATTCCTTTCTCATTTTCTTTTGTGTATTTACTGTAAGTTTTTGATTTGTGGTTACTGTGAGTTTCACATATATTATTCTAGGTATATCACAGTCTATTTTAAGTTGATAGCAACTTAAATTTGAACACATTCCAAAACTCTACATTTTTACCCCTTGTTTTGTGGTTTTGATATTACTTTTTACATCTTTTTTATTTATCCCTTAACTAATTACTGTAGCTTTAGTTAATTTCAACACTTTGTCTTTTAATCTTCTTAATAGCTTTATAAGTGATTAATCCTCTATTAGGTACATTACTTAACTTCATATCATTAAGGTCTTTTTCTGAGGTTTTTGTCTTGTTCTTTCATTTGGAACATTTCTCTATCTCCTCATTTTACTTGAGTCTATTTGTTTCTATGTATTAGGTGAAACATCTACCTCTCTGTCTTAAAGGACTGGCCTTGTGTAGGTGATGCTCTCCTTTTTGTTCAAACTTGCCCTAGTTCTTGGTTGTCTCTTGAACCTTTGTTGATTGTCTAAACCACCTGATTTATTCTTGATAAGTTCCATTGTTGAGGGTGTGCCAAGACTTGTCAGTGATCTAAAGGGAGGAATCTCATTTAGCACCTAGTTTCAGGCTGATTGGAAACCAGACCCTCAGGCAGCAGCTTTTAAAGTATGCAAATATATAGTCCTGTGGGTCCACAATTGTAATCCCTGTTGGACTTCAGACCAGGAGATCCGGAGGTGGCAGTTGCAAAAATTGGGGCTCCAAATGAGTGTATAAGCTCCTTTCTAGGAAGTCTTGTTAAGCTGTAGCGGTACCAAGGGGGTGTGCGGGAATGATTTCTTCCTGCTTATGTTCCATGGGTGTGCTTCTTCAGCCTCAGGGAAACCTGAAGCCTGTCCCTCAGGCTGAAGCTCCAGGCTAAGTACATAGGCCTTTTTCACAGGAAGATTGGGGCTGTGTTTCAGTCAGCTGCCCTGGGCGTGGTGGCCTGCCAAGTGTTGTCTTTCCAATTGTTACAGTCCCATGGAGCTCTGGAACACCAGCCCTCTTGGCCACCAGTGCCAGTTGATCAAGGGGTGTCCCCTCTGTGATTTGTGCAGGCCTGCTGGCTTTGGCAGAGCAGCTGGAGAGTGTAGTGGCCAGGGCATGCTTGCTGGCTTCAGAAAAACACTGGGAAGCTGTTGTGTCTAAGCGTGCCTGTGGATTTCAGCAATGCAGGGCGCGTGAGCCTTATCGGTGCATGTGTGCTGGCTTGAGGCTGGGTGTGGGTTCACACTTGGCATTCCTAGTCAGGGGGCATGGATGCCACTGGTTCTGATTTTCCCTAAGTAGTCAAATACATGAAAATATGGTAAATTTCAGACTTATTTTCTTACTTTTATTTTTATGTTGTGGTAAAATACACAAAACATAAAACTTACTATCTTGATCGCTTTTAATTGTACAGTTCAGTGATAAAGTACCATCATATAGTTGTGCAAACGTCACTACAATCCATCCCTAGAACTCTTTTCATCTTGCAAACTGAAACTTTTCTACCCATTATACAGTAACTCTCCATGAGCCCCTTCCCTCAGCTTCTGTCAACCACCAGTCTACTCTTTGTTACTATGAGTTTAGTGTTTTTTTTTTTTAAGTCCACATATAAGTGAGATCATGCAATATTTGGCTTTCTGTGGCTTATTTCACTTAGCATAATGTCCTTCAGGCTTATCTACGTTGTCACAAATGGCAGGATCTCCTCTGTTTTAAAGGCTACATAATATTCTATTGTATGTATACTTATATGCCATATTTTCTTTATTCATTCTTATTTTGAATAAAAATATCAAGAAATACTAAAACCTCTTAACATGGTATGTAAAGGTTAGTGTACCATTCTTGTTTCAGAATAAATAAAGTTGTACCCTGTTATAATACTGATGATGAAGATGAGGGTAACATTCATCCTTCAAGCATTTTCTGCTCTTGTGAGGAAAAGATATGCCCCTGCCATAAGTAGAGGAAACCTGCACAAAGGATGGCTGGGATTATTACTTGTTAAGACCTTAGAACCGAGCCTGGCAGGGTTGCCTGGGTGGCTCAGTTGGTTAAGGATCCGACTCCTGATTTTGGCTCAGGTCATGATCTCAGGGTCGTGAGATTGAGCCCCAAATCCGGCTCTGTGCTGAGTGTGGAGTCTGCTTAAGATTCCTGTGCCCCGCCCCCCCCCAATGCACTCGCACGCCCTCTCTCTAAAAAACAAAAACAAAAAAAAACCCCAGAGCCCAGCACACAGTGAGGACTACATCAGTGTTACTTAAATTAAATTGCACAGGACTTGGCAGCCTATAAGCCCTTTCATGAATGTTGCTTTATTCCCCCTTGCAACAACCCTGGAGGTTTGGTAGGACAGGGATTATTATTTCCACTTTACAGATGAAGAACCCGTAGTTCAGAGAAGTTAAGGAATTTGCTTAAGGTTACTCAGTGACTAGAAGGGATTAATCTAGAATTCAGGATTCTGTTTTCCTTTCGGGTGCTCAGGAGTGATGGTCAAGTAATTGGGTGCTCTAAAGCTATGGCTTCTTCTGGGTGGCCTTTTCACCATGGCTCTAGCTTCCCCCAGGCTCCAGTG